CTTCGAATGGGTATTTTAAAGCAGGAAGTGGTTTTTTTTTCTTCGTTTTAATACAGTATTTGGGGTTAGTATAATAACACAAACAGGAAATATTTTTGCAGAATGTTCGAAATTATATTCATAACTCTCATTCTTTCCATGGATTCAATTTAAAAATTAATACAAGATCGGATGCAATGTTACATGGATTATATAATTCATACCAAGAGGCTGACCCGAACTATGAGGCTTGAGTATCCTTCGTGTGCAATTAACTTTTCCCCACAACCGCTGAGGATCATCTTCAGCATCTACAGAGACGGCTTAAAAAGAAACTCATGGAAGATGCATATGGGGGAACTTGATCTGTTTATTGCGGCAATCTGACCCTCGCACCAGCCACCAGGGAAGAGAGGAGAAAGGGAAAATGAGCACGATGGAGGTTCGAAGACTATCTAGGAGCACGGCGAGTGGATCCCGCTCCTCATCTGTCTGAGTAGGACGTGGAGCCTCCGCCGCGTCGCTTCCTGGTCCTCCTCCCCTCCGCCCCTCAGGTCCGGCGGGGCCTGTCGATCGTCAGGAAATAATTTCAAATGTTTTCACATTTCAAAAACGCTTGAGAATTCCTTGCGAATTCATTCATGTGCATTCAAGCCATCCTGTAATTTTTTTTTAAAACACCTCTGAAAGTGGTTGAGTGGTTCGATATAAACCTCTTGAAGATTAAACACCGAGTCTAATTTTTTGTTTGATTTTTCTTGAATGAATGAAAGCCATTTCGCAGGGAAGAATGAAAAGATCGAATGAAGAGACCTCGCTGTCGAAGAGGAGCCAGACGGGCGGGTAGAGCCAGGACCGCTTCGACTCATCCAGCGGGGGGGCCGCCGCTTGGTCCTGGGCCGCCGCTGGGTCCTGGGCGGCCGCTTGGTCCAGGGTCGCCGCTTGGTCCAGGGCCGCCGCTTGGTCCAGGTGGAGTCGCTTGTTGAAGAAGCCACGCTTGTTGAAGAATCCTCTCTTCCATTCCCCTTCCCCCGTCGGTAGGGCCATGATGGCTGCCGCCGATAAGAGCAGAAGCAGCAGTTGACACTCCATCTCTGCGAATACGAAAACAAATAACGATGAATCTTGCCGAGACGATCATCTCCCTGGAGATGGAGGGAGAGGAAACGTAAGCCTTTTTTTTTTTAATGGATGAACAAAAAAGTTTTGCGAGGGAGCGCCGCGATTTTTTCCTGCCGAATTTTAGAAAGGAGCGAGGGATTCTTCAGCGTCTTCGCGTTCATTTCTCACTTCTGTTTGATGTTCTTCCTTTTGGCCATTTTGAAACATTTTTGGCTGATCGAGGGCTGTCTCCTCTCGCAAAGCAGAAGTTCCTCCTGCACGGAATGTAATTTCGTGATTTCAGAAGGAATTACATCCCTTGCACGTAATATAGCACAAGGGATGCAATTCCTCCCTTGCGCTACTATATTATGCCTTAGCACAAGGGATGCAATTCCTCCCAAAACTTTGACTATCTGGAGCAATTGAGAGGCATCTAAACTGGAACAACTTAGCTTCACATTTTTTTGTTTTCCCGGTTTTCATCCAGGAGAGGATCGCGATATCTTCATTTCATACCGTCGCCGCCTCGTTTCGTACCATTTCGTACCATTTCGAATGTGGACGCCCGATATGGTACCGTTGAACCCCGAGTCGCGCTTATCTAATCATAAATAGCTCAAACATCAATAAATAACTCAAACAAACTCGTTATGCCGAGGTCATGAGTCTTTTCTATAAAAACCTTTATCGCCTCTCTCGAGTTTCTTCCGCGGGGAATCAAACGAAGATGGAAACTAATTATCATGTGAGCTAATTATTACCGAAATTAGCATCGTCCGTCAAATGCCTTCCAGTTGCCCTCAAATTGCCCTCAAATTTTTAAGTCACTTTGCTTCGACGAAGTGATATGGTACAAAAATAATTCGAATGGAGCCAATTTATTTAGTTCCCGACAAAGTTTGCATTTCTGCTAGAAATTTCTGCTTTTTGCTAGAAAGCGACGCTGTACCTTAATTTTGGCATGAATAACAAGCAATGAATTGCACCTGAATTAAGCGAGGAGCAATTATATCTATTGTAAGCAATTGCATCCCTTGCGCTCTGCT